AGGGATTCCAATGGAACATGATACGTTCTACAAACCTACTTAAAACACAATAAGGATATGAAAATATCTTATTAACCCTTAGATTTCAGTTCATAACTCAATTCATTCACATGATTACAACTAAAAGTATTTACAAATTATATTCAAGAGGAAATAAATATTATTGTCTGGGTAAGATTTTGAAGTTGGATTGAAACAGCCAACCAACCAGCTCTCTCTCTCTCCCTCCCTCCAACGAAGACAATGGCAACAACAACAATGAACAAAGTCTTATTCTCAACCATTTGGGGTCGCTACAAGAATCCTTTTTCTCCGCTCCATTTGATTCATTGCTAAATCTAAAGGAAGATTTAAAACAATTAGATCCTTATCAACTACAACAAGCCGTGTAATAGCACATATCAGAATTCTGAATTAGCTAGTTATTTGATCTCGGCCCAGCCTCTCCATGATGATAAGTGTATTTTTTTTATTTTTTTATTTTGTAGCATGTGCTGGTATGTATTATGGGCACAGGGGAATAATTTTGATGGAACTACTCCATTGATTATGCATGAGACTAAGCAATGCCACCATGTCTTTTGAAACTACATTGACTCATGATATTATGGAAGAAGCAATTCAAATTAACCATCATTACCCCTTAACAACTGCAAAGTAACAAAGTTCAAAACTAAAAAAAAATCACAAGCCCTATGGAGCAATATGACAAGTATATTTAAGTGATCCATGGAAAAGGGATTCTATCTTTGACTGTAAAAATATGAAATCTGAACCCAACTTTCCAATACTACGGTGGTGCATAGAGAAGAGAGGGGATAAGAACTAAGAGCGCTAAGTGCATGTTTTGTTAGTGATTAGATTAAAATTTAAACGATTATAAATTAATGGGTCCAGCAGAATGTGTGGACAATAAATAAATAGTAGTTGTTAGTCCCCGAGTAATGTTTGGACAAAATGTATGTTCGACCAGAAGTGATTAAATTATAATCACTTCCCAAACAAGCACCAAGTAGACATAAATGTCATTGATAAAAGAAATTGTTGCCCCATAGAGAATAAAGAGGATTCAAAGTGGAAAAAAATTGTTGCTTTGGTACTTGGCTTAAGAGGTGGCATTTTAATGTTTCACCAGGGAATGACATTTTTCTAGCAACTGCTTGCTCTAAAAGACAACTGGAGAAAATGTTAATCCTGATTTTTATCCTTGGGAATATATGATTTGTACAATATGGACAGTTTTTAGAAAGCCTTTGAGTTTCTCGTGTTCCAAATCTTGGGTGCCTCGTGTACAGTGTTATATATATATAGGAGAAAGGCATTTACAATCTTTTCACAAATGTCGAAGCATCAACCCTTTCGGTAAAAAATACACCATCCCAGTAAGTAAATCAGGATTGATGCTCGCGAATGATACAGCTATATATCGTGCATTTTGTGACGTGTAATGTAATCAACCACAATACAGCTGAAACACGAACATAAAAACAAGTAATATTCACGGCTAGTCCATATTTGGATCATTGACTAAACAAGAACGATTATCATTGGATTGAAGAGATCACACCATACCATATGCGCAGTGGACAAATACCGGTATCTTCTGAGCTCTCTTTCTACAAGCCCACTTCACAGCAGACTCAATCTCAGCTGGCTGAGGTGATCGCGTGTCCCATGTAGGAATGCAAAAATAAGCATGTCCCGAAAGCTCCATTATCCTCGGAAACTCACAAGTGCAGTCGATAATGGCTGGATTACCAGGTGGCAATTTGTCGAGCGAATAAGGCCACCCTCCAACATATAATCCTTCTGAAATCTCACTATACGGAGCCTCTCCACTTCTCAACCTCCTCAAAGCTGAAAATAGTCTAACAAAATATAGATATGGACTGAACATAATTAAGGACCAAATGGGAAATCTCCCATCTGTTCCTTTCCCCAAAAGTATTGGCAGATTAATGGATGGATGTGCAGCAATTGCAACCAAGAAAGACACCAAAGATGCATATAAAACTGGAATTGCTGGCAACATGAAACCACGATTTCTTAGATATGTAAAACCCATGAATAAAGTAGCTGCCTCTAAGCCTATAAGCATAGTTATACCCACACCCATCTTTCTTGAACAATAGACAATATTAAAGTAGAAGATCAATACATTTTGCACAGTTAGTCAGTTCCACAGTTACAGAAATTTGAAGAAAATATAGTCAATAAGAAAAAGGAAATTTTGTACAAACAATACCATTTATATGGATAATTATGAGGATTCAGGATTGCAGATTTGGTCCGGATTTCATGAGGAAGTACGAAGTTAGGGCTCTTAATTTTGAAGAAAGGAAGCACAGGGGGGTTTGAATTTCTGACGAGACCCAAATGGAGGATCATTCGACTCAGTGGACCGTTGAGTCGCCATGTATACAATATTCGTGAACTCGTTGGCTTCTATTCATTATTCCATTGAGTTGCCGTGAATACAAATATTCGTGAACTCGTTGGCTTCTATTCATTATTCCATTGAGTTGCCGTGAATACAATATTCGTGAAATCGTTAGCATCTACTCTTTATTCCATTCCCCCTCACTCAAGTATGCTTTGTAAAGAGAACATTTGTGAACTTGTTAGAGTTAAGTCGATCACTTTTAACAAGAGTTCAGGTCGTGTTCAGTGTGGGTCATCGGCAAGAGCTTTTGTCGGACTTGGGATAGATTATTTTTAAATTAGATGGAGTTAAAATCGTGCATGAATAACTTTTTTTGGAAAAATTTATAATATTAATAAAATGATAAATTGTGATGAACTGAAATATCAATTACTTGATCAAGTAGCAATTGAGCATATTTATGATGGATTCGATGCTCTGGGGCTTCCCAATCCTTTATACGAATTAAGATCTCCATTGTATCTTATTTGCGTCTACATTTGAACGCGAACAAAATTCTAACACTTGCTCTAAAATCAAATTCCAACGTTACAATATTAATTAGAGATGTTAGTAGACTTCGTGCTATAAAAAATTAATTGAATATTGACGCTCTTTTGTTCTCAAAAAATGAAGTCACTCCAAACCTTTTGAAGTTTATCTCCTCTATCATTGTAAACATGTTGCGAGTAAAATATATGGCCCCGTTTGGTCCCCATTCTTTTTCATTGTTTTTCCTCTTTTTTATTTTCAACCAAACAATCTTTTATAAAATAATATTACACGTTAATCGAAAATTTTTCATTCTTTTTCAACAACACATTTTAAATAAAAAAAAAAAAAAACTATTCCAAGCCTTAAAATTTGAAAAAATAATAATAAAATGGGGGGCAAATGGTATCTAATTCTACTGGTATGCCACTGTACCTATAATCAATGTACTTTTGTTGGGGAAATAAGATTTAAGTACAAGCATATGTAATAATTTTTACTAGAACTAACTATTGATTTTTTTTTTTTTTTTATATTCAGGTATCCACCTGACAGTGATTAAATCCTGGAGTCTACACCTTGGTCCCTCAAGTTGCAGACAGGTTAAACCGCAAGTTGTACCCCAAACTGATCAGTGCTCAAGAGCCCTCCAACTAATCTGTCAAAGTGTCAAGCAAGTCGTTTTCCCATATTGGTTACGGGAGCTGTTTAACGCTCCCCAGTCCCCTGTATCTTTGGACTTACATTTCGTACAATTCACATAAATGGCTTCCATAGTATATATGTTACTAGAGTATTGAAATCTAATGCATTTGAAAATTGGGTTATAGCAAATTTCGTACCCTCAAAATTATACTTGCAATCATTAAATAAACTAAATAAAATAACATAGTAAATCTTTTCAGTGTATATATATATATAAAATAAAAAGTAAGTGAGAACTTTAAGGCAAGGAGGATAATAGTCATCAACAATTCATTAGTGGCATAAAGAAAATTTCAAAAATCTTCTCACTTTAAATGCAATTTCTCAATCATAATCTTGTAAATTATTTTCTAGGTCGTGTGCGTTTCGGGAATTGTAAAACGTAGTAATAAGTGATTCATGGCCTTCATAAAATTTTAGCCAAAGGTAAGTTGAGTTCAATATATGACTTATATCGATGACAAATGTTTAGACATCCATTTTCTTATTTGTGCAAAATTCTTGAAAATTTGTTTTATGCTCAGTGATATTATAATATAGTATTCCTAATTCTTTTGAATTGATCTTGAATTAATTTTTAACCCATTTTACACAATTATATTAAAAAATTTACGAACACAACGTCCACGAAAAAGAATACCACCAACATCAAGATTAATAATCCAAAACTAATTTATCAATTACTGTTCTATTAAGCAATGCATTGTTAAATATAAAACTAGGAATCTTATTGTCACTATGAAATTCTTTAATAATACTCATTAAAGCTTTACAAATATTCTTAGAACCATGAAAAAATTTAATTAATGGGAAAATTGCAACGGAGGACCCCAATCCTTTTATTTTGTTGCAGAATATATCTTAACCTTACATTATTGCAGTCGTAATCTCAAACCTTTAACTTCTATTGTAGCCAGAGTCTATCATAGAGTCCATGACAGACTCCATCCGTTTATCCGTTAATTAACCCTAAATTAATGTTTCACTCAAATTGACAAATTAAATGAGGGGTAAAATGGTTAAATTAAATGTGAAAATTTTGAGATTTCTCTTCACTTGTTTGTCAAAATCCCAAACTTAAACCCCGGTTTGGTAGCAATTTTTCAAATCAAAATTTTGATCGTTATTTCGCCATTCCAGTTGTCATTTTTTTTACTTCTTCACTCACAAGTGAAATCCAATTTTATCTCTAACGATCAAAAAATATATTCTCATGATCAATACCGAATAGCACTAAGTCTAATTATGGATCACGCCCCCCAGGGCACATCCGAGTTGGTGGATCAATCACCTTTGGCGCGCTCGCAACCTCAGCGTGGAGAGTTCGATTCATGGTGGGAACCTTTGATCCAATAAAGGGGCAATTTATTGGTGGATTAATCACTATGGAGGAAAGCTCTCTTAAGGCCACCGGGTGGGAACCTGTGATCCAATAAGGGCACAACCTGCGATTTATCTCCGCTAGCTATTGAGGAGCCGGTGGCTAGGGGTTCAGGATTTAGTCTGGCGAAACTGGAACACCTGGGTTTAAAAAAAAAAAAAAAGGTCTAATTATGGATCACTATATGGTTTTCTAAAATCCCAGAATGCTTCAGCATTCCAAAATGTCGCAGTTATTTTTTCACCAAAGCAATCAATCTCTGCCATTTGTAGGCATCGCGAGAGCAAAATCTCCTGCTAGGACTCCATTTCTAACATGTTATTACTGCTAATATCCACGTGGTAGCTATCATCTTGAAATGAATTGTCATAAGCAGTATTCATTTCTGAACTCTCTAAAGTCAATTGTGAAGTTATCTCAGGTTCTAATGAGATATGGTATGAATATTCGTTGTGCTTATCAGAATTATTCACCTGGGACCTGTATTTAGAACATGGTGTAGTATTTACGGGAGTCTGAGTTTGAGATGGAAGAAGAGGGAGATGATGTTTCCGAAGAATTTGTTCCATTTTTTCAAGCAATCTTGGAACCCAGAACTGTCGGATTGCTTCATGAAATTTATACAAAGTAAATCCCAAATTTCCACATTCTTCACTTTTTCTTAACTGAGTTGTGATTTTTTATTTTGTGGGGTGATTGGGGAAGAAGATGTTCATTTTCATTTCATTTCTTTTTATTATTATTATTATTATTATTTTTTGGGTTTTTGATTCTAAAGTTTTCAAGGAAGAAAATATAATTATACCATTTTACACCTCATTTAATTTGTCAATTTGAGTCAAACATTTAATTTAGGATTGACTAATGGATGTAATCTATCAAATAGACTCCGATTACAATGGAATTAAAGGTTTGGGATTACAGCGGTAAAAATGAAAGGTTAAGGTGTATTTTGCAACAAAATAAAAGGTTTGAGACATTCGTCATAACTTTTCACTAATTAATTTAAAAGCAATAATTCTTTTATGCATTGCCATCAAAGTGCGTGCATTTTTGTATTTTTATCGTTTAAATTTATATATTATTCTCTTTTATGAGGCTTTATTGTGGAAAACAAATTCATCCGCAATAAATACCAATAAAATTACGCATGCATTGTCAGCAATTTTTCAAGTTAAAAATTTTTTCCAACTAAAATAAATTAGCTAATAAATAACAAACTAATATAAAAAATTTATGTTAGTTTTTAAATATTTTTCAATAACCAATCTTTATTAATTTTGTTATTTAGACTATAGCAAGTAAGATTTTTTTTATTTGTTTTTACAATATAAAAATGTCAAATGAAGTATTTTCTAAATTTCACAATATTTTATTAATTAACTAAAAATATTTTTTATTTATTTGATGTTAAGTGCGGAAATAGAAGATAATAATTTTACTAGTATAAAACAAATTATCTATAGAAAGACATTTAAGGAAAAATAAATAATTATAAAATAATAAGTAAAACATTATATAATGTAATATAGACGGTGTGATTTGTTATTTCGCTTAAGTATATTTTTGTCTGTTTAACTATTTACAATTTCATATTTGTGCAGAAAGTGTAATTTGTAATTATTATGTAAAATGTAGTATATTAATGTAGATTTGTAAAATACGATTGTAGATGTTTGAATCTATAATTGGTTTGAAAGGTCAACACCAATGATATTTATGATCAAAATAATGAAATAGTGGTATTGTCTGAATTGTTGGATGATAAGATTGTGAGTGGTAGTAGTAATTGCGATAAGATATCTTTGTTGGATGAGTACTGAGGAAGCTTTTTAGACTCGATAATCAATTGGTTTTCTTTAAATAGTCATATTGCCTTCCTATTAATGGGAGAATCTGCGAAGGTGTTTGTTTCGCAAACTAGGGAGCACGTAGTCACTAGATAAACTGATTAATTGGGGGTAGTAGTTTCGGAGGCTTGAAAGACTTGTCCAATGTTGGATAGAGTTAGCTTAAGGGAGCAGTTTGCAGATTCAGAGCCTGAAGGTCACTCGGTTCTAAGAATACAGATTTAAGATCAAAAGTAAGGTAAAATTATTGTCTTTGTTAAATTTAGAAAGAATTCTTCTGATATCTTGAAAGAATTGTAGGGATTATTATTGTTCATGTTTGCAAAAAACTTATCTAAATATGTTATTATTCATAAAGTTTGCAAGGAATTATTTGAATAATGCCAGGTTATACAATTAAAGGATTAGATAATCTGTTAGATAGATTAATGGAAAAAATAGAAAATATTTATTCTCAATTAGAGATTATGGATATATTATCAAAGGAATTTGATAATCTTAGTAAATTACATGACAATTATATTACAGATTATGCTAATTTATTAGATCAAAGGATGAAATTATATATTAAAACTCGAAATGAGAGAAATAGAGGAATTTAAAACTATCCCAATAAATTAAGGATATCTTGTGCAATATATGATAAATTATTTCATTAAGGGTATAATAGACATTTTATCAAAAATGAATAGTAGCAGGTCATTTATAATAATACCCCCATCAAAACGCGTGCCGTACACGTACCACGCGCAAGACCACAGCCCCGAAGCAAAAGTTAAAAGAATGTCGATGCATTAACAATCGTCAAACTCAAACCCTATCTTCTCTTC